TTTTTGCCTTCCTTTTCTCTATCAAATAATCCTTCAACATAACACAATATATATATATATATATACATACACACAAGCACACACACACACACTCTCTATTGGATATATATGTGTATATATATATTAGTAGGGTTATTCTTACCCAGATTCTTCTTTTGTTTTTATTTTTTTTTTCATTTCCTTGGACATTTAAATTCTCAGATATAATTGGTTGCATGTGGGTCATGATTAATATACACAGAGCGGGTATACATACACACACATATATATTACATATAAAATTACTCTATTATCATCACTTCAAATTAAAGTTTATATTTTATTGTAATTTTCTTTCAATGCTCTGAGTTTTTTGAAGAGTTCAAATTATAATCCACTATTAGTTTTTTAATTCAAGTTTCAAGCTTTCCTTTACTACAGATTGAGCAAATAATATAAACTTGAGTAATCATGAATGCTTATAAAATATTGAATCTAACTGTTAAAAAAAGCCCACATTTTTTTATGAAATTAAATTTAGATACTAAAAAATTAGGGTTTAGTACAATCGTATACAAAGTATGTTTCATAATTCGATCGCATAATACTTTGAAAAAGAAGTAATTATACATAATAAAGATATAAATAGTTACTCACCCATATATTATTTACGAGTGATAGATGACACGTACAAATATATATGTATATATATATATACGTGTGTATGATGTTGAAGAAAAGTGAGAATTAGGGTTTATAAGGAAAGAGAAGTGGAGGGAAATTTAAGGGTATTACCAAAAATGGAGTGACAAAATAAAATGGTTAATCCACTAAAATCCAGCTTGTACATAAAGGGAAGATATTCTTCATCACTGATATAATCAGATTCAGACTGTTCATCACCAATTCTTGCGTGCATTTCAAACTCTCCCTGTTCCTCTCTCTCTTCTCATCTGCAAATCCACCATCATCCTCGTCGTCATAATCACAATAATGCGTGTATATATATACATATACGTGTATGTATCTCTGCGTGTGTATGTGGGTACTTGAAAATTTTTTATGACAATTGCATCTCTCTGCCCCTCAACTTCTCTGAAATTGTACTTCTGTCCTTCTTTTCTCTTTCTTTCTGATCATCATCTGAATCAAAAGTTTACATATCATGCATTTGTATACATATATAGATATATATATATATATATATATACGTATTCGCTATAAGCATTTAAATTTTTGTGTTTGTTTTCTTCCCATTATTCTGGGTTTGATTCTCTATTTGCAGCCCTAGAAACCCATTTGTTGTTTTCCACCCAAAAATTATTTTTCCTGCAGAAATTCTTATTTTGTTTCTTTTTGTGTATAACTAGTAAAGATTAATTTTTCAAAGAATCAAAATTGTATACCTACTAAAGCAATTTCAGAGAATATTGTTATACACCCACATATTATATATATATATATATACGTGTGTGTGTGTGTGGGTGATAAATATAAAGTAAAGAGACTTTATAGAAGAAGAGATGAGAGAGGAAGAGAGAGTATCTGAAAAAGAAACCGACATGCCTATCAGACCTGTTAGATTGGTGGAGAAGTAAACTACAGACTTGTAAATTAAAGTCCCACCACCAGATTACAACAACATCATCATCATCTCAGATTTTCAGTTTGTGCCATCAAGGACAATTATTTACTCTCTATATATATATATATTATATAATATATATACACACACACACACACACACACTGTAACTATAAAAATATGTATACATGTATATATATATATGATTATTTCTCGAGCAAAAATCCAAATCCATGCACCAGAAATCAGTCACTAAAAAGAAGTCGGCATTTTACTGTTTTTCTTGAGATTAAAAAAGTGATTAAATACTTAAATATTGATTAAAGTAAAATTAGGGACTAAACTGGTTTGCATTCCCAATTTTCATGGCTAAAGTTGAAATTAGGGGGGGAGTAGAAGGTAGAAACTCAAATTTAATAAAATAAACCTATGCAGTTATTTTTACTTTTAATTTCACTTTTTAAAGAAGCCTGTCGTCTTAAAAGAACTTAAATTTGCGCGTGCAAATTAAAGGTGTATATATCAGCTTTCTTATATATACATATACATATATATATGTATATTCATATATAATTGAAATATATATATATATAATTATCGTTAAATTTAATGGTTATATACTAGTGTAATTCATCTACGATAATTAGTACAAATTAGCAAGTTTAATCTATGCCTTCTTTTAAATAATTTATTATCAATTCAACTCTAATGGTATAATTTTTTTTTTTTTTTTACTAAAAAATAGATACATTCATTAATTACATATTATGTATACATCAATGGGTAGTAATTAAAATTGTATTATATTTAAAAATTATAAATTTAAAATTTAAAATATATAATTAACCGACCGAATTATAATCCATAATTTTCTAAAATTAAATATTTAATTTAATTGACATAAAGTACTCCTTAATTTTTGTTTTATTATTTTTTTAAGGCTTGATTTTGACGTTATGGTCATGATTAGCTTAAGATTAGTACGAACCTAATCTTCTTTAAATATTCTATTTACAAAAGTCAACCTCTAAAAAAGTCG